TCTAGTTTCTAATCCATTCTACTATCTGCTTCTATTTTATGGCTGAGCTCATCCTATTTATATTCAGTTATGATTTCTAATTGTGTATTTCCCTCCACCCTATTTTCTCATGTTTATCCTTCTCTCTCTTTCTATCCTGTCCCTCCTCACAAGTCTGTGTTGCTTCTAACCACCAACTCCCTTAATCTATCCTCCCTTTTATCATCCCCCTCCCCAGTCTCTTATCCCCTTCTCTTCCTATTTCCCTATTGAGTCAAATAGATTTCTATACCCAATTGAAATTGTAAATATATATTCTTCCCTCTTTGAACCAATTCTGATGAGAGTGAGGTTCAAGCATTGTTCCACTCCCTGCACCAATTTTATCCTCTGCTGTAACCAAGCTCTTCCTTGAATGTCTCTTTTTTTGTGAGAAAATTTTTTCTACCTCTCCCTTCCCCCTTTTCCCCAGTGCATTACTCTTTCTCACCCCTTAATGTTTTGGGGGAGGGAGATAATTCCAACATAATTGACTCACTCATGCCTATGTTGTCTCTTGTTGACTATATCTATGTTAACTCCTACTAACTGTGTTAAAAATAATAAAGTTCTTGGGAATTACACTTGTCATTTTCTCATATAGGAATGCAAATAGTTTAACTTTATCAAATCCTTTATGATTGCTCTTTCACAGTTACCTTTTTATGCTTCTCTCTAGTGTTGTGTTTGAATGTCATATTTTACATTCAGCTCTGGTCTTTTCATTAAGGATGTAATCCTCACTGCCTTGTCTTCCAGAATGTCACCTTCCAAGCCCTCCACGCCTTTCACATGTGCACTGTTAAATCATGTGTGATCCTGACTGTGGCTACATGATGTTTGAATTGTTCCTTTTTGGTTACTTGCAATATATTCTCCCTGACCTCAGAGCTCTGGAATTTGGCTATAGTATTCTTGGGAGTTTCCATTTTGGGATCTCTTTCAGGAAGTTAATGATGGATTCTTTCAACTTCTATTTTACCCTCTGGATCTAAGATATTGAGGCAGCTTTCCTTTGTAATTTCTTGAAATATGATATCTAGGCTCTTCTTTTATCACGGCTTTTAGGTAAGCCTTTCAGATAGTTTGATGATTCTTAAGTTGTCTCCCCTTGAAATATTTTACAGGTCAATTGTTTTTCTGATGAGATATTTCACATTTTCTTCTATTTTTTCATTCTTTGGATTTTGTTTTATTGTTTCTTGTTATCTCATAAAGTAATTAGCTTCCACCTGCCTAATTTTAATTTTTAAGGATTGATTTTCCTCAGTGAGCTTTTGTATCTCTTTTTCCATTTGGCCTAATCTGCTTTATTATTATTATTATTAATTATTATTATTATTATTACTTTATTTTATCAACAATCACTTCCATAAACTTTTGAGTTTTATATTTTTCTCCCCCTCCCTCCCAAAGATGGTGCACAATCTAATATAGGCTATACATATACATTCCTATTAAACATATTTTCAACAGTAGTCATGTTGTAAGGAAGAATTAGAATCAATAGGAGGAACCACCAGAAAGAGGAAACAAAACAAAACAGAATAAAAAAATAGCAAATAGTATGCTTCAATATGCATTCAAACTCCATAGCTCTTTCTTTGAATGTGGATAGCATTTTCCATCATGAGACCTTTGGAGATATCTTAGATCCTTGCATTACTGAGAAGGGTTAAGTCTATCAACATTAGTCATCACACAATGTGGCTGTTACTGTGTACAATGTTCTCCTGGTTCTGCCCACTTCACTCAGCATCAGTCCACACAAGTCTTTCCAGGTTTTTCTGAAGTCTGTCTGCTCATCATTTCTTATAGCACAATAATATTCCATTACATTCATATACCACAGCTTGTTCAGCCCATTCCCCAATTGAGAGGCTTCCCCTCAATTTCCAATTCTTTGCCACCACAAAAAGAGTTGCTATAAATATTTTTATACATGTCAGTCCTTTTCCTATTTTTATGATCTCTTTGGGATAAAGTCCTAGAAGAACTATTGCTAGGTCAAAGGGTATGCACATTTTTATAGCCCTTTGGGCATAGTTCCAAATTGCTCTCCAAAATGGTTGGATCATTTCATAACTCCACCAACAATGCATTAGTGTTCCAATTTTCCCTACTCTGCTTTTTAAGGAGTTCTTTTCTTCAGTGAATTTTGTTTTACCCGTAGCCAGTTCTACTTTGTAAAGTGTTATTTCCTTCAGTATTTTTGTGCTTTTCAAATTTTTGCCAAGCTGTAATTTTCTTTTCACATTTTTCTTACATCACTCTCACCCCCCCCAATTTTTCCTTTAGCACTCTCATCTTTTCTTTAAATCTTCCAGGAATTCTTGTTGGACTTGGGCCCAATTTGCACTTTTCTTTGAGGCTTTGCTTATAGCTGTTTTCACATTGTTGTCTTCTGAGTTTATGTCTTCGTCTTCCTTGTCACCTTAGTAGCTTTTTATAGCCAAGTTTTTTTTTTCCCTTTGGTCATTTTCCAGTCTATTTCTTGATTTTGACCTTTATGTTAAAGTTGGGTTCTGTTCACCTGGGGGGTGGGGAGGCACTGTCCCAAGCTTCAACCTTTTTCATGCTGGAAGTCTTCAAGTTTTAGGAACTTCCTAGGTGGTAGGATCCCTGGAGAGGTGTGATCATTGCTCTCTGGGTCTGTACTCTGGGATTTGCCCAAGAAGGCCCCTGCTCCCTTGCTGCCACAAGCGCTACCATTCCTTTTGCCCTTGGACCTGTGATCTGGGGCTCTGCTCCCTTGTGACTGACCACAAATGCCCCCTCCACTGTGGAACTGTGACCCAGATCTACATATGGTCAATAGTTGCCAATCAGTACGAGCTGCACCTAGTGCCAATGAAGGGTTCCCTGTAATCTCTTTCTGACCAGCTGTCTGACACCACCCCTTATTGCCTCTGGGCTGAGAGCTGCCAAAGCTGTTGCTGTGGTGGCTGCTGCAGCCATCGGATATGTACCTGGACAGACCTCTGGCCCAGTGCCACAGACCTCTCCTCTGGACGTCCTAAGTTGTCTCAGGCTGGAAAATTTCTCATCCTGACCTTTAGTTGGTTCTGCCACTCCAAAACTTGATTTGAGGTGTTATTTATTTTTTTTAAATTTCTTTTCTTTCTTTCTTTCTTTCTTTCTTTCTTTCTTTCTTTCTTTCTTTCTTTCTTTCTTTCTTTCTTTCTTTCTTTCTTTCTTTCTTTCTTTCTTTCTTGGCTAGGCAGTGGGGTTAAGTGACTTGCCCAGGGTCACACAGCTAGTAAGTGTTATGTATCTGAGGCCAGATTTGAACTCAGGTCCTCCTGAATCCAGGGCCGGTGCTCTATCCACTGCACCACCTAGCTCCCCTTGAGATGTTATTTCAAAGTCGTTTGGAAGGGAATGTTTAGAAAGTTCAGCTGGCATGCTCCCTTTAATCCACCATCCCCAACCCTTTTCAACAACCAAACCAGAAAGGGTCAGAAGCTTGTATTATCTTTACGTTTCTGTCAATATGGAAAAGTAAGGCCCAGAGAGATTGAAGTGACTTGTCCAAGATCACAAAGTGGGATTTGAACTCAGGTCCTCAGACTCACCTTCAGCACCTTTAACACTAACATAAAGGACAATGGATGGCAGCCCCTATTTTGACCCTCCCTGCAACATTTCCTCTGTTTCCCTGGCAAGGAAAAAACAGCCTTAAAATCACAAGCAGGTCACCCCCTTGCCCCTCTTAAAATTGATTCTACCACTAATTAGGATGGTCCCCAAGGTCATGAGCTAGCTAACCCAGGAATTGCCCTTGTCTCACCCACAACACTCAGCAACTAGGATTTTACCTTTCCTCTGCAGGAGCACCACCTGGTGGCAAGAAGAGATAACTCCACACCTCCCAAATGGTACTAGGGTAGTGTGTCATGGTCAACAGGAAGCTGAACTCAGTCACAGTCAAGATGTGGGTTCAAATGTGTCTCTGACACGTTCTGGCTTTGGGACCTGGGGAGAGTCACTTACCAGGTAGTCAAGTCAAACCACCAAGCATTTGTTAAGCACTTTCCACATGCTGGCTGCTGTCCTAGGTGCTGGGTGTAGCCAAAGGAAAAACCATCCCTGCCAACAAGGAGCTTTCACTTATATGGGGGTGGGGTTGCACTGGGAAAGGCCAAAAAGTCAGAATCCAAGCCAGGAGTAGAAGTGAAAGATGGCTAACCTGATACCTTCCTCAGAAATATGGGCTCCAGAAATTGGAATGCTAATGCATTGTTGGTAGAGTTGTGAACTGATCTAACCATTCTGGAGAGCAGTTTGGAGCTATGCCTATAAAACTGTGCATGCCCTTTGACCCAGCAATACCACTTCTAGGGTTATATCTCAAAGAGATCATAAAAATGGGAAAAGTGACCCAAATATACAAAAATATTTATAGCAGCAATTTGTGTGGTGGCAAAGAATTGGAAATTTTGGGGATGCCCATCAACTGGGGAATGTGGTATATGAATGTGATGGAATACTATTGTTCCACAAGAAATGATGAGCAGAGGGCAGCTAGGTGGTGCACTGGATAGAGCTCTGGCCTTGGAGTCAGGAGGACCCGATTTCAAATCTGGCCTCAGATACTTGACACTTACTAGCCGTGTAACCCTAGGCAAGCCATTTAACTCTATTGCCTAGTCAAAAAGAAAAGAAATTATGACGAGCAGAATTCAGAAAAACCCGGAAAGACTTGCATGAACTGATGCTGAGTGAAGCGAGCAGAACCAGCAGAACATTGTAAACAGTAACAGCAACATTGTGTGATAACTGATTTTGATAGACTTAGCCCTTCTCAGCAATGCAAGGATCTAAGACAACTTCAAAGGCCTCATGCTGGAAAATGCTGTTCATATCCAGAGAAAGAACTATGGAGTTTGAATGTAGATGGAAGCATATTGTCTCTTTCTTTTGCTGTTGTTTCTTCTTTCTTCGTGGTTTCTCCCATTGGTTCTAATTCTTCTTTACAGTAGGACTGATGTGAAAATGTTTAATATGACTATATATGTATAGTTTACATCGAATTGCACGCCATCTCGGGGAGGGGGGAAGGGAGGGAGAAGAGAAAATTTGGAACTCAAAAATCTTATGGAAATAAATGTTAAAATCTCTTCCCGATTCCTGCAGAGGGCGCTACTGACCCAGAGAGGCAGCCAGCTGGGTCAGACTTAGGGAAGATTCTTTCCCTCAAAAGCATCTTGGGAACATGAACTTGTCTATAGAGGGCTCCTGGTCAGCTGGGGTCCTTTCAGACCCGGAGTCACAACCTTGTCGGCCTCTTGAACCCTCCCGCCATATTCCATCCATTGCCAGCCCTGCCCATTCTACCATCAGAACATCACCGGCACCCCCTCCTCTCCACTCACACAACTGGAGCCTCACCTTCTGGCTGGGACTATTACAAATCTCCCTGCTTCTGGTTTACTCCACCTCCAACCCAACCTTCACACAGTTGTCTAATTAATATTTCTAAGACACAGGTATGAGTACGTCACTGACCTAAAAAAACCTTCAATAGCTGCAAACTGCCTCTTGGGTAAAGTATACACTCTTCAGCCTTACATTTACAGCCCTTCACAATGTAGCTCCAAATTTTCAAAGTATTCCCCTGGGGTTAACTGCTTTCCACTCAAACTGACCTGCTAGTCCTTCCCCAAGTCTGACATTCCAGCCAGGCCCCCCCCCATATCCTGCCACAACCTATACCCCAAGACAGAGATGAACATCAATCATCTCCTTGAGTGTCCTGTAAGGCTGCGTCAAGTGCTCCCAGCTACGGGAAGCTCGACCTTCTCATCCTCGGGGGCTCCTGTTCCTTCCCTCCTCATACTATCTTACAGGTGCATCCCCAACCAAAAGTCGGCTCTGTGAGGCCATCCACTCTTCCATCTCCATATCTGTGCCCAAGGAGGCCAGGAATCCACATTTACTGATCTGGTCTGAACTACAAAGCCTTCACAACTCTTCGCTGCTCCCAGCTGACCCCACCGAGTCCTTCAGCTAGCCCTCTCCAGCCGGCCCTCCACCGTTCTGTCAGCCCTCCTGCTGACATGATTAGCAGCCCAGGGAATGATGAGAAGTCTGTCTGTTCTTGAGATCACTACGCTGGCTCTCAGGGGGCCTTCCTCTTTCAGGCACCTCTATAAGCCAGGCTGGCTGTCCTAGGCTGCTCGGGCCCTCTTTTCTGCAGTGAGGCCTGGACCAAGTCTGCCATGGTCATTCAGATTGCGGACAGAGGGCCCAGGACGCCAATATGCAGGTCCCTGGGGCCTGACCGCAGACTTGGCCGGACACAAGTGGTGAACCAGGCCAGTCCAGCGGCTGCCCTTTGGGATACTTCTCCCAAGGGGGGGATGCTTCACCTAATTAAGCCAATTCACTAATTACTTTGATTTCCCCCAGTCACAAGTGCAGACCACTTTAACATTCGTTTTAAAAAGCATTTGGGTCCCCATTCGCTGCCAGCCTCCCTCCAGGGAGCGATGTGATGTGGGTTAGACGCGTGCAATGAGCAGACCAGGTTCCCATAGTCAGGTGTGAAAGACACAGACTCGAAGGGGAAAAAAACATTAAAAAAACAAAGTGAGAAACAGCGAGTTTCCATTCAGACTCCATCAGTTCTTTCTCTGGAAGCAGATAACATTTTCACCAGGGGTTCTTAATGTTGTTTATATTTTTATCATTATATTTCAACTATCTTCATCATCACTGGCCCCATTCCAACCATCAGGAAGCCCTGGGTTCGAATCCTCCAGTCCTCAGCCACAGGAGCCTGAGCTGCCTCAGTTTGCTCCTCTATGAAACGTGGAGGCGCAGGCGCCGCGGGACGCTCGATTCCGCCGCACCCACGGGGCACGCAAATTCACAAAGGCGGTGACCTAACCCCAACTGAGGGGAAAGAGTAGGAGGGTAACTGCGCCTGCGTGACATCGGCCGTTTCTCCCGCACCGTCCCTTGATGCGCGCGCAGCCCCCCTCTACCACGGGCGGGGCCGGAACAGAGCGCGTCTTCCGGGGGGGGCGGGAAGGAGAAGGGAACCGGAGTCCCCTCTAGCGCTCGTGCCCGTACCTGAGCCCGTGCCCATGCGCTGAGCCCGTTCCGCTCCATACCTCCCCTTAAGCGAATTTTGATTCATGGTCTATCTCCTCTCGTCCCGCCCTCCGCCTGTCCCTGCCCCGGATTGGGCGTTTGAGAGACCACGTGAGGATATACAACTGCTCATTGGCTCAACGTCCTTCTCTATGATAAGTGAGAGCGCATGATCCGGAACCGGACCTCTGATTGGCTGGCCGCCGCTTCCCATAACAAAAGAGAAGCTAGACGAACGCAGGAGGATATGCGTTGTTGCCACCCCTTTTTTCCTGACCAAGCTCTGATTGGCTGCTACTCTTGTCAGTCACACCATCCTCCCACCTATTGTCATGAATAAGGAGGGAATCACGTGTCCCAAAGCGAGTCTTCCGGGCCCTTGGCCTAGAAGCCACGTGATCTTGCTCAGGTACGCCGCTCCGCACCTTGGGAGTCAGTCCGTCTAGATGTCCGCTGCCTCTTAGCTCCGCCCTCAATGTTCTAAGCCCTGGGGGTGCAAAGAAAAGCAAAAAAAAAAAAAGGGGTCTGTGCTTCAAGGAGCCCCCAGGCCAACAAGGGACCCACCGGGAGGCGGGGGAGGCACAGCCTGGGCAAAGGCGAGGAGGCGGGACTCGGGTCCTAGGGAAGGGCAGGCCCTCCAGAAAGGAGCCAAGAACCCCAGCCCTCCCAGGGTGCTGCAGTGAATGCAGCCCCAGCTCTGGAGTCCAGGTCCTTGCTCTGCTGCTCACCACCAGGATGACCTTGGGCCTCAGTTTACTCTGTTGTAACAAGGGGAAGGGAAGGAAACAAGCATGTATTGAGCACCAACCACATGCCTGGCTCTTTACAAACATTATCTTCTTTGATCTTCACACCTCTCCCAAGAGGGAGATGTCATTATCTCCGATTTATGATTGGGGAAACTGAGGTAAAGTGACTTGCCCAGGGTCACACAGCTGGAAGTGTCAGAGGCAGGGTTTGAATCTGGCTCGGTGCTGCCTCAAGCAGGAAAATGGCTTCAGACCAGCACCTCTTAAAGTGTGGGTTGTGAAAAATACACAGCAGTAAAAGGTTTCTGAAGGTCAACGTCAAAAATTAACTCAAAATCAAGCACCTAACGAATCTGAGGTGCTTCTGGCTATGCTTGCCCCTGGTCCCTTGCTCAATTTCACTGCCACCTTGGTTCTGAACCCAAACAATGCCACTTTGCACTTCCAACGCCATTATGCCATGCAACACAGCTCAGATTCGAGACTATTGTATGTTGTGAATTGCAGTGTTTTTACTGTACACACAAAATCATTCAATGAATTTTGGCTTGCAATTTGGACAGATTTTCCAACAATTTCTAAAATGGCCCTAAACATATTTTTGCCGTTTTGTGCTACATATTTATGCGGAGTGGCGTTCTCATCGTTGACAATTACGAAATCAAACTATCGGTCAACTCTGAAAAAACCGGTGAAGATGCTCTATGTCCCGAAGTATCAAATATTCTGCCAAGATTTAATTCTTTATGTAGGAGCAAACAGGCACATCCATCTCATTAGTATGCACATTTGCTTTCATCCTTAATAAATGGTAAAATTATATGTACACCAAAGAATTGTTTTAAAATAAATTTCTTGATGCTTTATTATAAGTAAATGTTTGATTTCTATACCTATTTTATATAGCTATAAATCCCAGGGTCATGTAAAATTTCTCAGCAGGAAAAAGGGTCTTGAGTGGAAAAAGTTTAAGAAGCCCTGCTCTGGACTGAGGATCCCATGACATCTCTTGGAGCTCTCTGTTTGCCCTAGAGATGTCAGGTAATAATCCCTTAATGATAAGTTCAGCCTTTGAAAGGCAGATCTGACTGTGCCAGGGGTGCCCACTCTTACCTCGCTCCAATGCCCTTCAAAGCAGAGATGGCTCCAAGGCCGGGGAGTCACCAGCTCCCACATTGTCCCTAAACTGGCTGACCGCCATGGAGCCCCTGTTTGGGAGCTCCCTGAGAGCAGGGACTGGCACATAGGAAGGAGAGGCAGGGGCAGCCCTGCCCAGGGCCATGCAGCCAAAGGCAGATGTGCCAAGGATGTGCCATTCATTCACCAGCAGGGACTGAATGAAAGCACTACTTAGCCCATGCTGACCTGGGGATGCAAGCCTAAAAGTCAGATGGTCTGGTCTCCCCAGAAGTCCCCATTCGAAGCCAGGGGACAATGGGTGGGAAGGTTTCAGCTGCACGTCAGGAAGGTCCCCCTGGTCTTTGGGGGGCAGCGGCAAAACAGATGGTGAGACTTCTTTCATCACATTTCCACGGATAAAAAAGGAGAGAGGATCTGGTTGCTGGGGTGGAAATGATGAGAAGCATCAAAGAAAACAGCCTTTCCATCTTAGTCTGTGACAGAGAAAGAGAAAACCTGAGAAGTGCCCACATGTGCACTCCCTAAATCATGACAGAGCACATTGCCGAGGCTCCAGAGGGAGGAGAGGGATGGTGCTATGAGCTGGAGCTGCAAAGAGAAGAGAGGAGGGAGCCGTGGCCGTTCTGGGAGGTCACCCCCCCCTCACCCCAGCCCATCCAGTGTAACAGGGGCTGTCCCTCACTCCAAAGGAAGCAGATCTCTGTCCTCTCCCCTGGCCTCCTCCTCTAAGAGAGGCTGGATTTCTTGCCAGGACAGGAAGCAGGAGGTTGGGTGCACTCTCCTCAGAGAGAGGGAGGGCCAGGCTGGAATGATATCTGTCTGCTTCCTTAGAAATCCAGTCTAAGGGACAGGAGTTTCAGGTTCAAGATAAACTTTTAATCACTTTTTCATTCACTGGGGAAACAGGACCCCCAAAGTTTACAGGGAAGGCTTGACCCCTTCACCTCCAAATATCAGTTCCACAATGAGCACGAAACGTGAATAACAAAGGAATCCATTTGTCCAAGTTGATGGCAAAACAGAAAACAGAGAAGGCAGATGCGGGACAGTGTAGATGCGACAACACAGCGTGGGGGGTAGGGGCAAGAACGTGATGGAGGTGGCCAGCTTCTCTCCTGTTGGCTTTTTCCTAGTCCTTTCCTTCATCATCCAGAAGTGGGGCTGCCTTGACTCATCCTCCCTCTCAAAGCTGGGAACCAGACGGACCCCAAGAGGCTGACGTTCCTCTCCCTCCCCTCACCCGGGCGCCCCTCACCCAGGCGCAGCGCATGGGTCTCGTCAGTCAGGAAAGAGTTCCACATCCATGGGTGTACTGGAGGTCAGAAGAGATGGCCAGTGGGGGTCTCCCAAGTGTCTTTGCCCATGCACAGGTGTGCCCCCCAAGAACTCAGGGGCTGTTGGGCCAGAACGGAGCTAGAATACAAAGGAACACCCCACAGCTCCCTCAGTCTTGCTCCTGCCTAGTGATCCTGGTGTTCTCTTCTTGTGTGTGTGCCTCATGGCCACGTCCTTAAGACTGAACCCCCTCTTCCCAGGCAGTGTGTGTGCGTGTGTGTGCCTGCATGCGCCCATGCCCACCTGGGGCCAAAGGCAAGAGCGTGCTCCCCGGCGTAGGGAGAAACACTTCCTAACTGCTGGTCTTGTTACACCTTCTCAGTAAATTCTCTTTTATAAGAAGCTAACTAATGTCTGCTGGTCGATAGGTAAGAGAGAGCACGCTTCGGGGACTCAGGAGCCACAGGGTTAGGCAGTCCTCCCACCCCCCAGACCGAGGATAGGCTGCAGACGATGACCACGAGTGGAGCCAGAATGTTTTGGGGAGAGCTGGCTGATCCTCCAAAGGAGCCGAGGCTGGAGAGTGAAGGATGCTCCAAAGAGCTGTCGCACTAGGATGGGGTGAGAAGGAGGCTCCAGAAGGATGGGGGCTGTGGCCTAAAAGACAGAGCCAGGCCAGAGGCCCGTGTGCCCACCCAAAGGGGTCTTGCCAGACCAGAGCCCAGGGCCATGTCTAAGAAGTGTCATTGATGGGGCAGAAGTGACACCCAGATTCAACACTCCCCTCGGTGAGCACGGTGCAGGGGAGTAGGTGTGGGTTACCAAAGTCCATCTGAAAAAGCTCTGGGTGACTTTAGAGTTCTGAGGGTTCAGCAGGAGTCCCCTCAAAAAGCAGCTCCTTTGAGAGGCATGATGTCCGGGGTGGCCCAGTCCACTCTCCTCTCCTCTGGTTAGATCACATCAGGAGGAGGGCTGCAAAAAGGGATTCTTGATCTGACATTTCACAAAATACCTTGGTAAATGAGAGGCCATCCAGAGAGGGGTGATGAGGATGCTGGAGGCCCTCTGGAGGTCCGCGAAAGGAATGCCCTGGTCGGGGCTGGGCAGGGGACAGAGTTCTTTAAAACTGGGATGGGGGCCAGTGGTCAAGAGATTGGTGAAGAGGATTATCCTTCAGATGCGGATGGGACTGGACCATGATTTGATGACATGGGCCCTGTGTGCAGCTGCTGAAAGCCAATGGCTGTGTAAGTGAGGGGCAGAGCCAGCTCAGGAAGGTGTGGTGGTTACGCAGTAAAGGTAGATTGTTGCCATTAATACAAGGGAAGACTTTCCGGCCATGAGAGTGTCCAAAAGAGGGATTCATTGCCTCAAGAAGGAATGAGCTCCCCATCACTGAAGTCTTTCAAATGGAGGTCGAATAGCCTCCAGCTGTTGAATGGTGCTGAGGTGAATCTGGGTGGCTGGGGAGAGAAGGTGGCTGGTCCCTTTCAGGCCTAAGCCACTGGGAGTGTTCAGGCATCATTGGGACCATCTGGATGTCGATTTCGTTCTGGCTTTCTCTATCTTCTTAGTCTACACTGTACTTCTCTTTACTCCTCCAAGATCATGATTGTTGGCACACTAGGTTTGTTTTTGGTTTTTAATAAGTATCTCACACACATGCTGGGAATGAGGCTGAAGGACTTGTTTCTTGCTTCTCACCTTGAGTCAAGTTTCTTTTTTTTTTTTATCATTTTAAAAAAATTTTCCCATTAGTCATGTTGTAAAGAAGAATTACAACCAACAGGAGGAACCACAAGAAAGAAGAAACAAAACAGAAGAGAAGAGGTAAAAAAAAATAGCAAACAGGCTGCTTCGATCTGCATTCAGACTCCATGGTTCTTTCTCTGGATAGC